AATGACCAAAACTCAACTTGTTAAAAATACATTGTAGGATGTAGACATTTCCTGAGGGATATTTTCCTTTCTGTAAATATACTCTTTTTAATAATTCTGAAAATTTGCCAACTCTCCCAGGTCTCCTCAGCCCTACAGTAGCCAGGGGAACATTGTGTTACCAGAAGGTATTGCCTGGGGAATCAGAAAAGGATGAGCAGAAAGGAGACTAACACACACATGAGCTCCATGGTTTTTTTCTCATAGGTAGCTCTTCTGTAGAAGAGCTTGCTACAAGAGAAAAGTCCCTTTTGTCATATCTCTAGTTCCTTAACTTCTATTGTGATGTTTATCTGTGGCTCCCAATTGCTTCTCTTATCAATTGTCCTGTATTATCTTTCACCGCCTGTATTTTATCTAATGTGCCATTAAGTCAAATCTCCAATATCAGCTCTCAATACTCAAGACAAATTTAATCATAAGTTCTCAATTAAATTCTTCAAAAGCCACATGATATAGTCTGTTCTGTCAGAAAAATCCCTTCTCTTGAATGTACTCATTCAAATCTTTGCATTTTTTAAGGTTCAGCACAAGAACCCTTTTCTTGAGTGAACTAAAAGAGGAATTTTAGTCATTACAAATAAATTTTTGGGGGTAAGGTACTTACTTTGGATGATACCCTGATTCCAGAACCTCACAAACACGATGTGGCCATCCAGGCTGCTGTTCAGACTGATAAGTTAGGACTCCTGGCTAGGTAGACTTTTCTAGATCTCCCTTAGCAGGCCAGTGGACACATCACCACACTTCTATGAGGGTCAACTGCTAATGGTCTCTTTAGAGGCCAGCAGCATAAAAACATGATCATGTCACTTACTCTACAACTACAGACAATTCTATCTTTATTGTGCAACTGACCTCTTTTACTCAAGTGACTCTCCTCTTTTTCATCGTGTTTTATTGAGTAAAATCATTTGCTAAGGTTTTCCATATGTCATATATAAATAAAGGCATATGGTGTTTGTCTTTCTCCACTGGCTTATCTCATATGTGTATTCATTTGTTGTAAATGGCAAGATTCCATTTTTTATAGCTGAGTAGTATTCCATCGTGTATGTGTACCATGCTTTCTTTATCCAGTCATTTGTTGATGCACACTTAGGTGTCCTCAGATCTTCAATACTGAAAATAGTGCAGCACTATTTATAGTAGCCAAGATAGGGGAACAACCCAAAATTCCCAAACAGTTTAATACTGCCCTATTCTACAAGCATCAGCACACAATCTCCATGCTTTCCTAATTTTTAGCATGTTTCTAGATCATTTACCATGTTTCTAAAGATGCCTGCATCTTTATTACCAAACTATTCACTCACTGATGTTACTATTTTGCAGCTATAAAGTATTGTCCCACTGGCCTACTTTCAGTGTCCTTCTGACCATCCACTTTCTTCTCCTCATTTGCTTTGTCACCAGCCCTTGACCCTTTCTCTTATATCAGTCCCGGAGTCCCACGACAGTCTGGGTAATACCACTCATTCCGAGGACGTACCCTTGGCTGCCTATGCACCACTACAGCTTCCATTCTCTGCACAACCCAAATGATTATTTTAATCAAATTATCCCATACAGACCACATTGTTTTTTTGTGGACTTAATAAATCACAAAATATATATCATTATGCTGTAACTAGACTTAAATAACATTTGAATTATTTGTTTCCAAGAACTTCAGTAAGGTAATTAGGAAACCATCTGCCCTACCTCTTTGTTGAGGGATGGGAAGAATACCTCTAAGAGAGAATTTTCTATACCACTTTGGGATTATGTTATATTATTAAAAATGTTTATTTATAGTCACATTTGTAAATTTATTTTTTCAAAAACTCATCCATTCCAACCTAGTTTACATATTTCTTTGAAATAAGAGGTGAAGTGTTTTTTCAAAAATTGTTTGAAATTTATTTCAATTCTAAATTTGTTTTTTTAAACTTTCCTTTTAAAGAAGTATGTTAGGGATCTTTCTCTATCCTATCCTTCTCTCTTTCTTGATCTGTTAGTATCTATCCTTCTTCTTCTTTTTCTGTTGTGCTTATTTTTTTCCTTCCTCAAAGGAAGCAAAGATTATGAAAACAAAGTGTTTCAAAACAGTTTTGATGTTTGCAACATACATTTGTGCAGAGCATTCACATGTGTGGGTATATATGTGCATGTTGTATATGTGTGTGTGTTAAAATATTTACACTTTTAGAACTACAGTTACTTTTGCAGTAAGAAAGATGTGAGACTAAATCATGTGAAGTAATTAGAATATCTTGTTTTGTAAATCATATTAGCACCATATATTTTGATCCGTTCAGTTTCTTTTATTAATTGTCTGAGTGAAAAAAGTATTTGCTTTTTCCAGAACCTTCCTCAGGGCAGTCTGCATTTCTTTGTTCCTAAGACTGTACACAATGGGGTTAAGCAAAGGTGTCACTACTGTATATGTCACAGCCATCAGCATGTCTTCACGGAATGAGCTACTGTCCTTATGCCTCAAATACACAAAGCCAGCAAATCCATAGTGTATGGACACTACAGTGAGGTGGGAGGAGCAAGTGGAGAAGGCTCTATACCTCCCCTGTGCAGAAGACATCTTCATAACAACAAACCCAATGAACACATAGGAGATTATAATTAAAACAAAGCTACCAACCAACACAAAGGCAGAGAGGACAAAAATAGTCATTTCATGATAGGAAGTGTAATCACAAGCAAGGGAGACCACAGGAGCGATATCACAGAAGAAGTGTTGAATGACATTGGAGCCACAGAAAGACAAACTAAATACAGTGATGACGACCCACATAGAAACCAGGAACCCAACCATCCAAGAGGCCACCATGAGCTGGCAGCAGATCTTGGGTGTCATTCGGGTGGTGTAGTGCAGCGGGTTCTGAATAGCAGTGTAGCGGTCATAAGACATGGCCGCCATGGTGAAGCAGTTGTTGCTGGCCAAGCCAAAGAAGAAAAACATCTGGGTGGCGCACTCAGGAAGAGAAATGGTCTTGCTGTCTGACAGCAGGTCTGCCAGCTCGCGGGGGATGATTACCATGGTGGTGCACGTCTCTGAAAAGGACAGGCCACAGAGGAAGAAGTACATGGGGGTGTGAAGGTTGTGGCTGAGCTTGATGGCCACCATGATGGACACATTTGCAACTAGGATGATCACATGGGAGAATAAAATCACCACAAACAGGAGGACTTGCAGGTCTGGGAAACTGGAAAACCCCCACAGAAGGAAGGTGGTGACTGACGTGTGATTGCCCATCTTCTGCCTCATGTAATGGTCTTTCAGAGGAGCAGAGGCTGTGAGGTTAAGACTTTGAGGTTGCAAGGAGATCCATCATCTGTCTGCATCCACAAAAGTGGACAAGCTGAAGGCAACTCCTCATAGAAGAGTCTGAGAAAGGGAGCTAAAAGCACCTGACTAAAGTTCAAACATCAGTGAGTGATAAGACTGATTCTAGTAGGGATTTGTATAAATGACATATTGACTGGGTTGCAACTATCTTCTTGGATTTTATACCTAAAAGTGTTCATTACTTGTCTATTTTCTAGTTTTTTAAAGATATATTTATTTATGAATATAAGAACTGGGGTACAGGCCAAAGGTTCAGGGATTTGAGAGGATTCATCAGAGACAGAGTGGGGAGTAGGACAGGCAGATTGATTGAAATACACTGCTGAGGGAAAGAGTAGACAGATTAGGAGAGGTTGCCATGCCATGTGGATCACCTTCCTGGTCAGAGATCATGAAACTGGTGCTGCAGTGGCTGTAGGTAGCTTTATATTGATGCATGTTACCTATTGTGCCACCAGGGAAGGTCCTGTATATTTTCTAATCAGGACCTGCATATAAGAAGGAAATAGGAATAAATTATTGTTTTTGCCTAGTGGAAATTTGGTGTTTCATTGAAAAAAATTTGTGTGTGTGATCTAATGATAACTAGCATGTAAGAGTTCTTAGTAAAATTTGATTGAATAAATAAATAATAAATAAAATAAGATAGTTGAACCACTTTTAAATTTAAGAAAAAAATGTTAGCACTTTCAATAAATTAGGAAGATAAGTGCAATTTTCCAAAAATCACTTTCTCAAAATATCATAAATATAACTACCATGTGATCCTGCATTTCCATTTTGTAGTTTTAATAAAAAAATCAAATTAACACTAACTATAAAGATTTGTACCTCTTATCCTCATTGCAGCATTATTTACAATGGTCACAAAAGTATTGACCTCAGTGTCCATCAAAGGGTGAATGGATAAAATGTACAAACATACTTGGTATACTACTTCTAGCCATGAGAAAACTGGATTTTGTGCTATCTACAATATTCATGAATAGGAAGCATTCTACTATGTGAACTAAGTCAGACCAGGAAAGACAATTACTGAATGATCTCACTTACATGTGAAATCTAAAAACAACAAAGTTTATTCACAAAGAAAACAAAAGATGGGGGAAATGGGTGAAGGTGTTACAAACAACAAACTACATATTATAAAATAAGTCTTGGAAAGTAAAGAACAGCATGATGATTGCAGTTAATAATACAGTACTGTGTGTTTTAAAATTGATAAAATAGTAGTTCACAAAAAGTCTTTATAACTATATAGGTGACAGATGTTAACTAGACACATTATAGTGATCACTTTACAATATACAAGGATATTGCATCATTATATTGTACACCTGAAGCTAAATTCATGTTATATGTCAGTTATACCTCAATGGAAAATCAATGAGTTAAAAGTTAGAATGATGATAGTATCATATAAATGGCTAAAAAGGCCCTCTATTAATGGCCCCTGTTGTTATTTTTTCACAGAGGGTTAGGATCACAAGTGAACAGCTCGCTCAAGCCATGATCCAGCATTTGCTACCTATGGATAAGCCAAACCTCCAGCTAAAATATTCCAAGATGCTGGTGTCCTTTTGAGGATGGACTTTTAACTCAGTCTCCACAGCTACTTATTCAGCTACTTATACAACTTCATGGACTCCTCTCTTTTTTCTTTCTTGTGAATTCCTTTGCCCTCTTCCTCTTCCAGTGGCCATGCCACAGCAGGGTCACTGAGGCTTCCTGTCACAAGAACTTTCTTTGGAAAATGGTCAAGCACCACCCAAATATAACTTGGTATGTGCTACTGCCAAACAGACAAAACTTTAACTTTTCTTGCCATGAATTTAATTCTGTTTTCATCAGTCCACCACTATGAAGTTGTTCCCAACATGTTAATTGTGGCAATGCTGGACCACATAAGTTAATTTAGATCTACTTTCACTGGGTTCCAAACACAGTAATAAAGTCTCAGTCCAGTGTCATTGGGTTTTAAAACACCAATGTTGTCTGTTGTTAACTTCTCATTGAACTCCTATTCCAGATTTCTAATATGGTGGACTAACTTGGAATCAACATGATTTTGAAGATATGGTCTCACTCTAGAATGACCTTCCAATCATTATGTACTAACCAATTTTGTATTTTTAGCTGAATCTCCCAGATAGTGTCTAGCAGCTATACTTTGTTGCTTGCTATGAAGCATAAATTGAGTCAAATCAATATACATTCTTCAGATCTACCCAGTAAATCATACTTCTATTTTAATTGTTCATCTCATTGAACATTTAATTCTGTAGGAGATAAGGACATAAAAGCGATATGATATATTGCATAGAATTTTGATTTTACCTTGTGTCACCTTATCTTCAATTGATACCTTCAGTTATCATACCTTCAGACAGAAAAACAGTAAGAGATTAGTGGTAGGTAGTGAAGGAGTGTGTAAAAGACAGAAAGAAACACTAACTGGAAAATATTGTATAGGATTCCCAGAGATTAAAACCAAAAAAGAGACAACAAAACAAAAGGTTTCCTGCTTTCTATTGGTACTGTAGCTATGGGCCAAGAATACAAGATGAAATAGGTCAGAAACCAGCATCTATTTATTCACCTATAATGTACCAGGCACAGGTTGGGGTAGACAGTGCTGTTCCATGTCAGGTGGTAGAAGTTTTCATTCTGATTTTACAAATGATGGAACCAAAGTATGGTGTTGGGAAGTGAAAGTCAAACCCATGAATTAATGACTAAAAGAGTGTGATGTGCCAGCTACAGAAACACTACATGGACCAGATACATGGTACCTCTGTTCTGTGGGGAATGACTATGTCTGTTCATAGAATTGGGAAAACTCTTTCTGGGAAGTGACACATTTAAGTGGAGAATGGAATGGCAATGAAAACCAACACGTACGGATCAGGGAGAGAGCAGTGCAGGCACTGGGCACAGTTATTACCCAGATCCTGAGATAGGGACTCATCTTGGGGGGCCATCTTCCGTCAAGACTATCATGGTTTAATTACAACCTCTCAACACTACTTTCCTCCACAACTTTTGCCTTTTATTCACCTCTAAAGAGAACATTTTTCTATTCTCCATACAGTTTTATGGGTAACATCTATATTAAGAGTACAGAATGCTAATAATATTACTTTTTAGATAATCTGTGCTTATATATCCTTTAATCTTTTATAGTGGTTTATTAACAACAGGTATTTGGTCACTAAAAACATATAAAATAATATTCATTTGAATGAGAAGAAAACTAAAATCCCCACCTTCTACAGAAGGAAGATCATCTAGTCTCTTAAATCCATGAGGCATCATGCTGGAAGAAGAATTTACAATCTTACAATTCAGGTTTAGCTTTCCACCTTTTTTTCCCTTTGATTTCAAGTATATCAGGAATCACTAATAAATTTTAGGCAATTTCCTCTGAATACTTGTGAAGAGTCCCCTTTACTAGTATTCTTCTGTAACATCAAATGTCATATCATCTCCACTCCTTACAGAGGGAGCTCAGGACCATGAAGATTTTAGTTAAGTCTTCATCCTTCATGAATCGTTATCTTGAGATTGTCACTTAGATAACAGGGGCCTTGTGCGCTGTGGACCTATCACCCAATGTGTTAGCCACAGGTTCTTAAACCCTGATATGCCATAGGGACTTTTTAATGATGTTTCCACTTACTCTTCTAACTAGCAGTTGAAATGATCAAAACTCAACTTCTTAAAAATACATTGTGGGATGTAGACAATTCCTCAGGGATATTTTACTTTCTGTAAACATACTTTTTACAATTCTGAAAATTTGCCAAACTTCCCAGGTCTTTTCAGCCCTATACAGTAGCCAAGGGAATGGTGTGTTACCAGAAAGTATTGCCTGGGGAAACATCAGAAGAGGATGAGCAGAAGGAGACTAACATGAGCACCACGGTTTCTTTCTCACAGGCAGCTCTTCTGTAGAAGAGCTTGCTACAAGAGAAAAGTCCCTTTCATCGTATCTCTAGTTCCTTCACTGCTATTGTGATGTTGACCTATAGCTCCTATTTACCTCTGTTCGTCTTGGCCTTCAATTTCTTTCACCATTGTTACTATCTTTAGCTAATGTGCCATTAAGTCGAATATCTACTATCTACTCTTATTGCTTCAGACAAGCTAGTCAATTTCCCAAAAAGTTCTGCATTCCTCTTGATGTACTCAGTTCTGTCTGGGAAAAAAAAAAAATTCCTTTTCTGGAATTACTCATCCTAATTCTTTCTTTCTTTCTTTTTTTTTTTTTTTTGTTTTAACACAAGAAATACCTTGCTTGAATGAAGTGAGAAAAATTGTATCCATTAAAAAAAAAATTCTAGGGCCCTCTCTGGTGGCACAGTGGGTTAAAGCATAGCACTAAGAAGTTAAAGCCACTTCAGCATGAATTCAATCCCCGCCCCGGAGGTGACCCACATGGTGCAGCAGACCTCTCCTGACCCGCCCACTACTCCCCTCAACAGTGTACCTCATCAGTTGGCCTGTTCTGCTCCCCACTCTGTCTCTGGTGAGTCCTCTCACCACCCCTGCACCTCTGGCTTGTACCCTAGTTCTGTATGCATAAATAAATAAATCTTTTTTAAAAATTTTATAAGGTAGGGCATGTACTTTTGATGGTCTATCTTGGATACCAGAACCTCACATTCAAACTTTTTACAAAATGCCTAAACATTAGGCTTGATTTTGTCTCATATTCTTTTCTCCTCAGAGACTAATTTTAAGCCTTAATCATCATTGCCAGTTATATATTCATACAGTCAAAACTTTTGTCCTACACTTTATTGCACTTGTCCCTGTAGTGTTGGGAAGGTAATAGAAGTACAATGTTACCCCTCTCTAGGAAACTGAATTATAAACACCACTAATCCTCCATTCAACTATTAAGA